GTGTGCATTATTAGGAGTCCCGGGGGACTGAGAGGGGAAAGGGGGGTTGTTTGGAGTGAGGAGGAGATGCTCACATTTTTCAGCACTTCATTTAAAGTGACAAGGCATCGTTTTTATAATATAATAGCTAAGTAAAAATCAGGAGTTGTCCCTTATGGTCACAAGAGGGAGCTGTGTACCACATCCATCTGCAGACCTTCCTCCCTTTGATGAACAGACTCTTCAAGACGTCACCTGGCCATACGGTACCTCAGGTGGTTAGATAGCCAACGTTGCAGGTTCCATCTCTGGCCAGGGCACATACAAGATGCAACCAGTGAACACATAAATGGAACAACAAATCATTTCTCTCTCTCTCTCTCTCTCTCTCTCTCTCTCTATATATATATATATATATATATATGAACAAACAAAAAAAGATGTCACCTTAGTAGACCAAAATGGGAAAGTAACCTCACAGGGTGATCTGGTCATAACTGTCTAACTGGGCAGGGCATGCTGGGTAGCCATGCCTTAGGCCTGTGACTTCAGTGAACGGTTTCTAAGCAAGCCCTGTTCCTCTGTATCTAGGTGAACATACTTTTATTTATTTTTATTTTTAAAATATATTTTATTGATTTTCCACAGAGGAAGAAAGAGGGATAGAGAGCTAGAAACATCGATGAGAGAGAAATATCGACCAGCTGCCTCCTGCACATCCCCCACCCTGTAACCAATGTACATGCCCCTGACCGGAATCGAACCCGGGACCCCTCAATCTGCAGACCAACGCTCTATCCACTGAGCCAAACCGGTTACGGCGGTGGACATATTTTTAAAATGCCAGAAGTAATGCCCCTCAGAGGCATACCCACCCTTTAGAGAGCCCATAACCTTGTTAACTACCCTGTACTTTGATGCCAGACCCTCCTGCTTTCTTTCACCTTCAGCCAATCTTCCTTTTCTTAATTTCAAAAGTACAAGAGAAACTGCAAACTGCTATTCCGGGAGCATGTGAGATCTTATTTCTCAGCAATTGTCATCAGTTCTGGCTCAGATGAACTCTTACAGAGACTCTCCACAGCTTAGGGCATTTTACATCGACACCTCCCAGAGCAGAAGAGAGGGGAGGGAAGGCCAGCTTCCCCTCCTGGAGCTGCCATCCTGAAATCCAAGAAAAGTCTGGAAACCAGTTTCTGCTTCATCTGGTGCCAAGGCTTTCTCTGAATTGAGGTGAAGCTTTTTATAGCTTTTGTCCCATTTACTGTGGGCATTCACACAGTGCACAGCGGAAATATGAATACTGTTTTTGTGTGTTTTTTTAAAGAAAAGAAAAAAAACACAACAGGCCAAAATGGAGTCGCTTTTGCCAAGCCAGGTCACCAAACCAAAACTTAGAAACTAACCAAATGGCAGTTTCAGCCTCTCCCAGGAGTGGGATTTTAAGCACATTAGTCGGTAACGTCCTGATGCCGGCAATCCGCCAGCAAAGACCCAACACCCCGGCCAAACCCTGCCTCCCCCTAAGGGAAGGTATCCTTGCCTGAAACAGCCCATCCCAGCCTCCTTCTGCCTGCAGGAGCCTCCCATTTGTACAGCCCATCGGAGCACCTCTCGATGCTAGATGGGATGCGACCCAGTTCATGAATAGCTTAATCAAGCCCATTGAATCTTCACATTCACTCGGTTGAGTTTTTGTTCTTTAACCATACATCTGATCATGTAAGGTGGTCCCAGGCCCTCCGGGGGGTCTTACAGGATCTACATACCACAATGTCTTTCTACAACCAGGAAACTCCGGAATTACAGTCTTCTCTGGCTCTGTGAGCTGTGGTAAGAGATGGTAGACCGATACTCTCACTCCATAGCTGCCCTTCAGCAACTTGCCCCCGGCCAGCTTTGACCTTGGGTCACTGGGATTGTCACTGTAGCCTCACTTCCTGCCCCTTCTTCCTTCTCCTAGGCCCTGAGGAGTCTGACGGCCTCTTAGGTGTGCCTTCAAGTTCCAAAGCATGGCTTTGAGGGTTTAGGGACCGAAGATCCAGAAACCAATGAAGAAGGGTCCCTCTAGGAGCCAGGGAGAGGGGCTGTCTCATTGCTGAGAGGAACCATCCGATGTGCCCTCCCCCTAGGGTCACACAAGATCCTCCTCCCATCACAGGCACAGGCAGCTCAGGTCCACATCCTGGTCATTTCCAGCCCAGAGAGCAGCAACCGAGGGCCCATGGCAGCAGAGGATACCTGCACCATAGCCCAGGAGCTATTTGGTGAATGGACAGCAAGGTCACCATCCTCAGCCGGGGCCTAAGGTATAGCCTCAGCGGCCTGTGGCTGCAGCTGCCACACCCTGGCCTCGTCCGGCTGAGCCAAAAGGGACTCAGAACCCACGACACCCTGGGCCAGAGAGCTCCTGCCTGAACCAGCGGAAGCACTGTTTTTGTAGGTCACCTTCCGTCCTTCACCAAGAAGCTTCGCTCTAGGGGTCACCTCTGTGGCCTTGGGCAGCACCCCTCCCCTCTCCCCGTGCACCGGTTCCCTGGGCACAGGGCACACGCACCTCAGTCTGTGTGAGAGCTGGATAAGGTGGCACACGGAAAACACTAGAAGGGTGCCTCCACACCAAGGTTGTCTGTCTGTTACGCCCAGACTTTGTGATCCCCAAGGACCACCAGGGAGCCAAGTCCGATGCAATAAACAACAGAGACTTTTCCATGCTGGCATGGGCTCTGTCCCACTCACGCCGGCAGCACGGTGGAAGAGAGCGAATTTCGCCCAGTCCAGGGGTCGGTGGTGATGTCACTGCCTTGGCCAACTCTGATTGGTTGGGTGAGGGCTAGGGATCAGTTACAAAATGGAGGATAACTCTGCACTGCCCCACGGTGGAGTCAGGCGTTTGTCCTCGCCCCGCCCTGCCCTCTCATGAACATCACAATCTCCCAGTATTACGTGACTGATTTTCAGCTTTTCTTCTTTTCTAATATCTGGTTCGAGGTCTATACAATCCTCTCTGAATACTGCTTTAGTTGCAGTCCCACAGTGTGCTATGTCACTTTCTGGGAATCTCCGTTGGACAAAGCAACCAAGTTCCCCGGGAGGGCAACAGTCAGGGGCGGAAATGACACACACACAGGCAGCCCCGTCCAACAGATGTGTCTCTTGCATCAGTGCCTCCTGGTGTCACCTCTGCCCTGGACCAGCAGCTAGGAACAGTGTCACATTGAGTGCTAACCACTGCCCCTCGGCCTCTTCTGTACCTGCCCACAGGGCCCATCCTCAGCCCCTGCAGGCCAGCTTCAGGCAGTGGGAGCAAGAGCCCATGCATTGGCCGGCTTCCCGTTGCTGTCCAGAAGCCGCTGGCAGTCTTTCAGGCGGGGCTGCGATGAATGGCCCCTTTCTTCTTTCCGAGGCTGTCACTAAAGGCGCACAGCAGTGTGGTGTGGCCTGGGGGGCAGTCAGCTGGCAGTGACCAGCAGGCTCTGCACAATCACCAAGGCGAAGTGGGGCACAGGGGCAGCCATGCTCTTCTGCTTGGGAGTCTTCCTGGCTCGGTGGGGCCCGAACTGCAGGGCCAAGGGAGACCCCTGAAAACCCACTTCATGGGTTTGTCACAAGTGACTCACACATGCTCCGCTCATGACTTCCAGGCAATGCTTTCCAGTGACAGTGAGGGGAAGGGGAGGCCATGTCCGGCTGCAGACCCTGCCCACAGCCCCTCCCTGTGGCTCCTTTGCAGGTGATCCTGAGCTGCTGCCAGCCCAGGAAGCAATTCCTGCTCCTAGCAGGGCTGCTGATCTGAGGCTCCGACCCAGGTCTGGGCCTCCCCGCGACCCTGAGGAAGCCATCTCGCACCACCCAGACCCACCAAGAACGGCCTTTCCCAGAACTTCACTCAGTGCAGAACTCCTGTGAAGGGGGGAGACTGGGACAAGTAGCTGTCTATCTACGTTCTTTTCCATTTCACCGATGTTTGTCCCCTTCTGCATTATTTTCTTCTATTTATTTTCTAGGTTTGATTTACTATGTCTTTTCTAGCTTCTTAAAATGGGAGCTTCAATGACTGGCTTTCAGCTTCTCTTCTTTTCTAATATATGGACCGAGGCCTATACAATTCCCTCTGAATACTGCGTTAGCTGCAGTCCCACAAGTTTGATATGTCACGCTTCGATATCTTGTATAAAAGACGGTTTCATCCTTTTTTTAAAAAAAAATAAATTAAAATATTCAGACAGAGCCCCGAATTCCAAATTAAACTATTAAGTTCATCTTACTTTATTTACGGAATCAGTTGGCTGTAGATTCTCTGTAAAAAGATTTGAAAGAGTGAAGGAAGCTCCTGGGGATGTTAGGGTTCCCAAATGCAACAGAAGAGGTCAAAGGGACAGCTCGATGACTCTTGCCCTTTGATTTTGACAAACCACTTCAATTGAATAAAAATTTAAACATGAGAGAGAGAAACATTAATTGGTGGCCTCCTGTACATGCCCCGACCCAGGACCGAACCTGTAGCCTAGATATGTGCCCTGTCTGGGAATGGAACCCACAGCCTCTTGGTGTACTGGATGATGATTCGGCCAACTGAGCCACATGGATCAGGGCAGAATAGTGCTGACTTTAAAACACACTTAACCCGGGTAACAGAAAATCTGCCAAAGCCGCACATAACTAGCTTAGAAACAGTAGCTGTCTGCATGCTGTTGATCTAGACTTCTTACGTTTATTTCACATCACTGATCATTTACAGCTGTTTAGACTGGTTCTTGAGCATGTGACTGTTCACGGAATTCACAGAATTCATTATCTCACTGTGTTTCACGTCCAAGGGTTCTCAGCCACACAGCCACCTAGGAGAGGCCCATGAGGTGCTTGTGTCTGATCATTTAGGACCCGAGTCTGGCTATTTAGATCGATATCTACAACATTATTGCTTCATTAGTCCTATTTTTTTTTTTAAAGACTTTAGGTGCTTTTGTTTTTTTTAATTATTAATTTCAGAGAGAGGAAGGGAGAGGGAGAGAGAAATATCAATGATGAGAATCACTGATGGGGCATGTGCCTTGATGGGGAATCGAATGGTGACCTTCTGGTTCATAGGTCAGTGTTCCACCATTGAGCCACATGGGCCAGACCGTTAGACCTGTTTTTGAAAATAAAGTATTCCCAGAAACCCACCCTGCCGGGTGTGCTTCACACTGTGGCTGAGTTCCCTCGTGGCTCAGCTGACATGTGGGGCTGACCAAACCCCCCACGGGGAGGTGTGATCTCTGCTGCTCCAAGGGCTGGCTGCGGCGGAACAGTGCCCCTCTGCAGGTGCCAACATCTCCTGCAGCTGCCACTTCCCAGCAGGTCTTGCAGCTGACATCTGCATTCATATCTGGGTCTCTGTAAAACCTAAGACATAAACAAGAGGGGCTCGGGGAATGGGGACTAACGCTCCTGGACAGCCACTGACCATGCAGGGGAGAACGTCTGAAGCTACAGCAGGACCTCACGTCTCCGTCTGTAAAAAGTGTTTTGAAGAAGGCGATGTACTCAGTGATTGTGGCTCAGGGGGACCGCCTTGCGGATGAACCTGAGGACTTCTCAGTAGATGTCAAGGCTGGGTTTTCTTACTTTGTTCCTTATGAGTTTCTATTTTGTGAGAAACGTCTTGGAGATTTCTTCGTGGCCCCCGAAGCTCGGTGGGTCGGACGAGGGCAGGGCGCTGGCCTCCTCAGGGCTGCGGGCGCTGGGCGCTGTGGGGCAGGGTCCCTGAGAAGTGGCGGCTGCCGTGTCCGGTTTGGAGGCGGGAGCGGAGGCGGCGTGCGGGCGGCGGGCTGCCCTCGGGGCCTCAGTCCAGCTTCTTGTTGTTGTCTGTGTTGTGCACAGACGCTAAGAAGTCGACGATGAGCTTGGCTGTCTTTCGAGGTCTCTCCATCACCACAGAGTGCCCGCAGTTTTCCAGAAGGTCCACCTGGCAGTTGGAGATAGCCTTGGCCAGCGTGTCTGCCCCGGACACGTCGATCACCTGCAGGACAAGAGCGGAAACTCGATGGAAACGATTCGGACACCTGCGTGCGCTCCGCGGACAGACTCCCACCGAGACCGCAGGGGTGGTTTTGGGGGCCAAGCCACTCAAGTATTAGGGCTTGTGGCTCTCTGACACGGGTGACTTACGGCCCCTGTTTGATTCTGCACCTCGGGGCCAGGAGCTGCGGTGCTGCCTGCGTCATGGAGGGGAAACAGGGCCTGCCCTCGAGGAGACTCTGGTCTGGCAGGGAAGGCAGAAGGTGGGCAGACAAAGGCGATGTCCCAGCGCTCTGATGGGGGAGGATCCTGGGAGCTGAGGGAGCACAGGGAGTGGAATCCATGGACTCGGGTGGGAGGCCGTGGCAAGCACAGGGACAGCCAGCGTCTAGGGGCTGAGCCACAGCGGGCAGGGAGTGGGGAGAGCGGGAAGTGGGAGGCCTCAGCACACAGGGCCGGGGAGGGCCTCGTAGGGAGGTGCCAGGAGGTGGAGGGGCCCCACTCCTCCAACCGAGTTGGGTGTCTGACCTTAATGTCAGGACAGCGGGGAGCCCTGAGGCTGTGTTAGGGACAGAGACTGATCAGGTGGGGCCGCGAATGCACCAGAGCGCTGGATTAGGGTGGGTCAAGCTTGGGGAGGACACAGGGAAGACACCAGAGGACACTAATTACTAATGACCACAACTGGGGAGCTCTCTTTGAAGGCCCTTTGGGGCCCCCAGCTGTGCATTATGAGCAATGCTTTTCCAGTGTGAAAGCCACCATTTTCCAGGCTGACACTTTTCAACAACTTAGTTTCACTTCAGTTATCTGGGTTGCCTTGCTAACATGCCAATCCAACTTACCTTTTCTCGCCAACACCCTTGCTTGGTGATGTATGTGCAGTCATTCTCCTCTCCCTCCCCCCTTAATTCTCACCTGTTTTTATTAATTTTAGAGAGAGGCGGAGGGAGAGAGGGAGAGGGTAGAGGGAAGGTGAGAAACACTGGTTGCCTCCCGTACACGCCCGACCAAAAGCCAAGTATGTGCTCTGAGATCAGGAATCAAACCTGAAACCTTTTGGTGCTCCCCTTCTCTCATCACTTCACCCTCAACTCATCCTGGACAAGAGGGCCCTCCTCTCATCCTTAACAGCAAAAGCAAAACCCCAACACACTCGAGGGCTGTGTTTGAGCTTCATCCTCAGCACCCACATCAGGAACATCACGGTTTCCCACCCATTTGGGAATAGGGCGAGCGGAATGCAGAGCACCCCTGGGCTGGGCGGCAAGAAGAAACGGTGCATGGGAAGCTTAGCGAGGGGGGCGCGGCACCCCCTGGAGAACCTGAACCCCTCTGCCTATCACTCACGCAGTGACAAGGTTGCCGTGGCAACCATCTGAGCAGCTATCAAGCCTGGCTGCTGTGGAAATGCAGGTGGAGTCAACATGGCAAAGCATGGAGTCGCTATCCTATAGACAGCAGACACGGCTCACAGGCAGACCACGTGAGCTTCTAGCTGTGACCCTGCTAGGCCGTTGGACGCAGCATTCCCCTGGTCACCAGCGTGGGCGGCCCTCAAGAGGGGTGCACGTCCGTGGGAACCACGTCAGCGATTTGCTGGCAGGACACACGGATAAATGGCGAATTTTCCTCCATCCCTACGAGGGCGAGGGGAGGGAGGCACTTGCCTCCGGCACAAACAGGTAAGTGGGTGCCAAAGAAGTCGGTAAGTAAGATGAATACTATTTTAATGCAATATGTAAAAAAATGTTAATATAGCCAAAACCGGTTTGGCTCAGTGGATAAGAGTGTCGGTCTGCAGACTGCAAGGTCCCAGATTCGATTCCGGTCAAAGGCATGTACATTGGTTGCGGGCACATCCCCATTAGGGAATGTGCGGGAGGCAGCTGGTCGATGTTTCTCTCTCACTGATGTTTCTGGCTCTCTGTTCCTCTTTCTCTCCCTTCCTCTCTGTAAAAAATCAATAAAACATATTTTAAAAAATGTTAATACAAAAAGATCCATGATGAACAAAATATCAAAATTGTAAGACAGGATCTGCCCCTGCATTGCACAACACACCTCCGAGTTCCAGCCTGCCATGTGCTGTAGCGGCAGGTCCCCTGTAAGCTGCTGGAGGGCAGATGCTGCCTGTCTTGGTCCCTACTGTATCCCCAGGGTTGAATACAGTGCCAGGCGCATAGTAGGTGTTTAATAAATATCTGTTAGCTGACTTCAGTGTATAGGCGGTCATTTGGTGCGTTTGTCCCTTCGCTAGTTAGTGTGTTCATTCACTTTCTCGCTCACTCACTCTCTGTGTGCGCTCTGGGTCTCTGTGTGCCAGGCACTGCGCTGGCAGGGAGAGGGACCTAAAGAGAAATACACCTTGCTGATGTCCCCAAGGCCCTCCTCCCTCTCTGTGAACTGGACAGAGGAGAAGGGCTTGAACGAATGCGCAGAACCCTCAGAAGGCCTGCCAGGGTCAGCTGTGCAGGGTGCATCCTGCCCACATCCAGGGGCATTGCTCACACCGACGCCGATGCACACGGCTCCCCTGCAGCACAGCCCCGCCTGCCGGGTCCAAAGTGAGGATGAGTCTGTGACACTATGATGACAGAGCGGGGAAAGAAGCCAGAGGGCTTGGGAAGCAAAAGGCCGTGAACTACTGAACCCTAAAGTCTCTGCTACTTGGCCTCTGCCCTCAGGATGGGCCAACAGACACATAAGGGCCTGGTCATGTTTATAGCAGGACCAAGGGAGGTCAGGCTCTTTTTCCAGAACCAAATGGACTTAAGGGCCCTGGAGGCAATTCTGGACCTTGGCCGAGCTGGCTGTCAGAGGCAACGGACATGAACAATAATTTATTTTTGATAACTGGAAAAAGATCACCTTCATACACAGGTCTATAGAGTACATGAAATGCAGTTTATTCTTGCATTATTATTTATTAATTATTATATTATTTTTTTAAAGTAGGCTTACAGTTGTGAATGTATGAAATAGTTTATTCTTGTATTATTAATGATTAACTATTGTATTATTTTCCATATGAACAACTGTGCCCCAGCCCTACTATGCCCCACCCTATCATCGTCTCACTGGAGCTTCAGTCACCCAGCGGAAGAGAAGCCTCTGATTTAGAGCAGCTGACTGTCTTGCTCAAGGTCACAGGCTAATAAAGGGCAAGGCAGGGCTGGACTCCAGACTTTCCGACTCCAAGGCCAGTGATCTAGTTTCTGCAAGTGTCTCTGCAGGTTCTGGTCTCTCTCTCCCTGCTGGTCCCCGAGAACCCTGGTCACCTTTGGGATTTTCAGAATGAAGAAAGGCCTTCATTGTTCTGACTCTGATCTCTGAGTGAGTGACTCCCTGCTGGCTAGCCCGAGCCTGCCTCTCACACAGACACACACAGAGCTTTTTTCAGCGTCTGGGCCGCTGCAGAAGGAGCACAGAGCCTGCCCGCCCACACCCTCACTCCGCTGTGCACCCTCGGCCACACCTGGCTGACAAGGTGAGGCAGCTGCTCTCTGCCAATGCCCTCGTCCCTCCCTCACACGCTGTGGCCCGGCTTCTCCTCCCGCCTCTTCCTGGGCCGTGGCGCACCGTTGCCAGCCTGTGCGGCTGCAGCCTGGCTTCCTGCCTGTGCTTTCCTCAGCCGGCACCGTTGGATGTGCCAAGGCCAGCAGGGCTCACAATGGTGGCTTTAACCTTGGGGCCCTCAGAGGATCTGCCTCAGTGGGGACAGCTTTTCTCTAATAGCCTTTGCTCAGGGTGTTCAACAGCCAAGACCGCCGGACACCCTCTAACAGACACTGCACTGCTGTCTGCCTGCGGGCCTTGTGCAGGCCCCACTTCTCACCACCCCTCTTGCTTTTCACATTTTAGAAGAACTTTCAATAAGACGTGATTTCTAGCCCTGGCCAGTTTTGCTCCATGGATAGAGCGTCGGTCTGCGGACTGAAGGGTCCCAGGTTCGATTCCAGTCAGGGGCATGCACCTTGATTGTGGGCATATCTCCAGTGGGGGTGTGTGCAAGAGACAGCTGATCAATGTTTCTCATCGATGTTTCTAACTCTGTCCCTCTCCCTTCCTGTCTGTAAAGAATCATCTATATGATTTTCAGAAGGGCACTAATTAAAATCATGCAGCTCTCAGGAAGAAGCGCGTACAGCCCTGTGTTGGGCAGGAATCACTCATGGAAACCGAGAGGGAATGAGTGACGGGGAGCAGCCTATCTGCCCCGTCCCCAAGTGTCTTCCCACAGACTGCTCATGGGCTGCCAGGGCAGAAAGAGTAAACCTACAATGAAGAAGTCAGACAACACCCTATTATGTGTCTGAGGCTGTGGTACTGATAACTCGTAAAATATTCCAGCCAGGGACTGTAACATAACCTGACTTGAATCATGAGGAAGCAGCAAATAAACTCAGATTGAGGAACATTTCATGAAATAACTGGCCTGTACTCTTAAATACCTCAGCATCATGAATGACAAAGGCAGACCGAGGGATCCACAGAGACATGGCCTGTAGGAGGTGACCCTGCAGTAAACCCTGGTTCAGGGGCCAGGAGGAGGGAGAGGAGGCTTCTGTGTAGGACATTATTGAAACGACCGATGGAATTGGAATATGAATCCTAGATTAGATAAAAGCACCTCATCCACATTAAATTTCCTGAGTGTGATAATGCATGGTGTTTACATGAGAAAATACTTTTGTTCTCAGCAAATACACTCTGAGGGATTGGGGTTAAAGGGGCATAGTGTAAGCAGCCTACTCCAAATGGTCCAAACATAGACAGATAGGTGATAGATAGGTGAGAATGATAAAGCCAACATGGCAAATGTTAAAACTCTAGTTATAAATAAAATGTGGTAACAGAACGATGGAATGACACTCGGCAATAAAAAAGGGATGATTGGTAACATGCAACAACATGGGTGAACCTCCAAAACATGCTTGAGTGAAAGAAGCCAGATGCAAAAGATTACTAGTTATATGATACTATTTATATGAAAATTCTAGATGAGGCAACAGTAGAGAGAAAGAAATCAGATCAGTGGTTGTGGGGTCTGGGGGAATGAATTTCGGATGGTCAGGAGGGAACTCTGGGAGTGACCGAGTGTCCAACACCAAGGTGGATTTTATGGCATGTCAATCCACCTTCCGTAAAGCAGGTAAAAATTTGGGAATTTAGATAAAGCATATGTAGGAATATTCTGTACTATCCTTATAATTTTTCTGTAAATTAGAAATTATTTCAAAGTATTTTAAAAAATAGAATGAGTAGATCTGTACGGGCTGATATGAAATGATTTCTAAGATCTATGTTTCCTATAAATATGAAGGTACAAAACTGTGTATACAGCATGTTTAAAAAACTTAAATATGTATGTAGCATGCCTGAAAAATGTACAGGTAAAACTTCTCTGTGCATATCATATGTGTGTCTGCTAGAACAGTAGGCGGGCGCTGGCTGCTGGCGCTGTCCATGAAGGCCCTGGGGCTCTGTCTGCCATGGGTTTGGGTGTTGTCAGTTGCTGCGCTGACACCACCACAGCAGGGCTGAGCAGCTGTGACAGATCGTATGTATGGCCCACAAAGCGAACATTTTATTCTCTGGCTCTTTACAGAAAAGGTTTGCCCATCCCTAGGAGATTGAAGAAATATACTCAGGACAGAAAGTGTTGCCTCAAGGAAATGGAAATTGGGATCTGGGGTTTTCATTTTTAACCTTTTTATATTCTCTGTAGCTGTTGTTTTTAAATATGTTTTTATTTATTTATTTTTTTTAGAGAGGGACCATGGGAGAGGAATAGAGAGATACAAACATCAATGAGCCCCCTACTGAGGATGGAGCAGCAATCTGGGCATGTGCCCTGACCAGGAATCGAACAAGCAACCTCTTGGCTCCTAGGTAGACACTCAACTGCTGAGCCACACCACTAGGCATTCTCTGAAGTTTTTATACTATATGGCTTTGATAAAAATAATTTTTAAAAACCATTTATAATTGCCCTTCATTTTAAAGGACCAATGCTGTTGCTCTCAACTCACAGCACGATCTGTCGTAAACACTGGCACTGACCAGGGTTGTCCCTCTCTTCCCGGTGGCAGACACCAGCCCACCAGCTGGCTTTTCCTCAGAGGCCGGGGCACCTCACACAGGGAGCCCAGGGCACGCTACATACCTGGTCTTGTTTCCCCCAGATGACCTGCGTGGGGGCCTTGATCTTGTCCATGTTCTGATGGAGGGAGTATCTCGACTTCTCATTGATGATTTCCAAAAACACTTTTTAGAAAAGGAAAACAAAGTGAGCAAATGCTGGGCCGTGCCCCAGGCACCACTGTACAGCATAGGACAGCCACTGGGTACAAGCCGCCACTTTCTCTCTCAGGGGCTCAGGAAAGCAGACTCCGAATGTAAGAAAAGCCAGCCACCCATAAAGCTTCACGTGTCCCAGCTCCAAGCTCAAAGCAGGCTACTCACGCTTTCGGTAGAAGTCGTTATGAGGGATGCGAACGTCCACAAGGCCTTGCAGGATCTGAGGACAAACAATCCACAGTCAGAAGGCAGGGGAAGATTCAGGCTCCTCATGGCTCGGGGACAATGAAGGCAATAAAATCCAGACATTCACAGCATTGTCAAAGTTTTTAAGGCCTAGTACTCCAAATTCCCATGATACAGTACAATATGATGTAATTGCTCACTAATATCCAAATGCAGAATGAGGTCTATTTAGAAAATTAAACTATTGTGGATGGTGAGTCTCTTAAGCAATAAAGAATTAAACTATTGCCCTGGCAGGTTTGGCTCAGTGGATAGAGCATCGGCCTGTGGACTGAAGGGTCCTGGGTTCGATTCTGGTCAAGGGCATGTACCTTGGTTGCAGGTTCCCCGGCCCTGGTTGAGGGGCATGCAGGAGGCAACCAATCAATGTGTCTCTCTCTGTCTCTCCCTCTACCTTCCACTCTCTCTAAAAATCAATGGAAAAGTATCCTTGGGTGAGGATTAACAAAAAAAAGAAAGAAAGGAAGGAAGGGAGAAAGGAAGGAAGGAAGGAAGAAAAGAAGGAAGGAAGGAAGGAAGGAAGGAAGGAAGGAAGGAAGGAAGGGAGGAAGGAAAAAAGGAAGGAAGGAAGAAAGGACCGAAACCGGTTTGGCTCAGTGGATAGAGCATTGGCCTGTGGACTGAAGGGTCCCGGGTTTGATTCTGGTCAAGGGCATGTACATTGGTTGTGGGCACATCCCTAGACGGGGGTGTGCAGGAGGCAGCTGATCCATGTTTCTCTCTCATCCATGTTTATAACTCTCTATCCCTCTCCCTTCCTCTCTGTAAAAAATCAATAATATATATATATTTTATATATATATATATATATATATATGAAGAAAGAAAGAAAAGAAGAAACTATGGGAGAACCTGGGAGGGTGCAGAGCCCCTGGCTTACTGCTCCACACTGTCTCTGCCTCCCCTGCTGCGGTCTGTGAAGGCTGCAGCAGCGGTGGATCTCCTGGACGCAGACACTGACTGAGAGGAGTGTGGCCAGAGGAACACAGCCCCCATTTCCCCTGCCTCGGGGCTCTTGAGGTAGGTCCTAGGTTCACATTAGCAGCCACCACTCCTCTCATCTTCCCGGGAATGGTCTGAACCTCCTACATGCACTCTCAGGAGTCCTGTGCATGGATTGAAGCGGGAAAATCAGCCATAACTGCTCTGGACTAAACCAACCCCTGGAGCATGACTATAACCTAACAGGACTAGAAGCACAAGTCCAGAGGTGAGCCAATGGCAAGCTGTCAACACACTGTGCTCAGCTGCAGACATTTTCTTTGCTCTATCTGCACCCATGCACCAGTGATAGGTAAGTGAATGGATAGGTGAGTGCAGGGGGGAGGGTGCCTTAAGCAGGCTGTGCTGGCCACTGCCCCTCGGGCAGGAAGCAGGCACCCGGCCGCTGGGTCACATACCTGCTGGGGCACCTTGAAGCGGACGTAGGAGCAGAGCTGTAGCATCTCGCTCATCTCCTCCGGGGTGGACGGGATCAGCGGGATCTTCTCCAAGGTGGCCGAGTCCTGCAGCTCTCTGAGCCGTCGTATGAACTGATTATCCGTTGAGTATTGCAGGCCTGGGGGGATTCAAACCAAAACTGCTTGGCCATTCATCCACCTCCTTACCCACTCCCATCTTAGAGAGGGAACGTCTAGCTCAGCTAATATGCTTCAGGGGTTTTTCACCAGATTCCTTTTTAATGGGTTCTGCCATCCTCACTCAACAATTATTAAAGTACACCCTGAAGAGAAACAGAAAAAAAATCCCTCCAGATGTTTTACAGACGGGTGCCCAGCAGCATGGGGAGCCCGAAAGAAATACCGAAGCTCAGCCCCTCCCTGAGTCTCCTGGGTCAGACCTGCCCTTGAACAGCTGTCCGGAGACTTGTCTGTATGAGAGAGTTAAGAAGCATTAGCCTAGAAGACAGCTCGCTTGAGCCCCTTTCACATCTGTGCTGTTGAGAAATCTCACGGAATGCATGATGGGAAGGACACAGAGACTTGGAGGAACTGACTACTCCTCCCTTTGTCCTGGACCCACTTAATAATCTCTTATTTGGGATCAAAACACAAAACACAGCCGAAACCGGTTTGGCTCAGTAGATAGAGCATCGGCCTGCAGACTCAAGGGTCCCAGGTTTGGTCAAGGGCATGTACCTTGATTGCAGGCACATTCCCAGTAGGGGGCGTGAAGGAGGCAGCTGATGGATGTTTCTCATTGATATTTCTGACTCTCTATCTCTCTCCCTTCCTCTCTGTAAAGAAAATCAATAAAATATGTTTTTTAAAAATACACACACACAAAACACAGTGAGAGCAAGTCTCCCTCTGAGCCACTGTCCACGTTGGGGCAGCGGCTGCCCTCTGTATGGTCTCCCTTCCTCCAGGAGAGACCAGGCGATCCATCATGAGCCTGAAAAGCTTTGAGATGGCCCTGGCTGGTTTGCTCAGTGGTTAGACCATCCTGGGTTCGATTCCTGGTCTAGGGCATGTACCTCCATTGCAGGTTCCTCAGCCCTGGTAGGGATACATGCGGGAGGCAATCAATTGTTATCTCTCTCTCTCAAGTCTTTGTTTTTCTCTCTCTCTCTCTCTCCCCCCTTCCTCCCACTTTCTCTAGAAATAAATGGAAAAAATATCCTCCAGTGAGGATTTAAAAAAAAACTTTGAGATGGTCCCATTATTTCCTGCACAAGAGAGTTTACACAAACTGATGTACACAGGAATGCAAAAATAATGTTCACTCCAACAATGAGCATACCTCTAGGTGTTTAACTTAGCTACAGAACTGGATTTTATTTACTTTAATTTTTTTCTATTTGAAGAACTAGATTTTGGAAAGGCAATGGCATTGATACTAAGCTGCAGAAATCCACACTCTACAAATCTCCTATATCCAGCAGCTCCTTTAAATCCATTATGGGCATCGAGTGGCTTTCACAAAGCTGTGAGGGCCGATTGCATGATCTATTTCCTTTCACTTTAAAAATAATCCAGACTAAGTGTCATGTGGTGTCTTGCATTGAATTCTGGACCAGAAAAAGGACACTAGTGTAAAAACAAATGAAATCCAAATAAAGCCTGGAGTTTCGTTAACAGTAATGTACCAATGCTGGTTCGTCCGGGGTGACACATTTACTGAGGTAATGTGAGCTGTTAACAATGGGGAGGAAAACTGGATGAAGGGTAGATGGAACTCTGTACTACTTTTTGCAACACTTCTGCAAACTTAGAAAATTAGTTCAAAGTAAAAAAGTTTATCTTTCCATTTTCACAAACAATTTTAAATTTTCAATGGACACTCAGGTTTACAACTCTTTGAGCAAATGAACATACACTTGAAAAAGCCTGGTAGATCTGACCTTCCATAAGCGATTTAAAAACCTAATAACCGCCCTAACCGGTTTGGCTCAGTGGATAGAGCGTCGGCCTGTGGACTGAAAGGTCCCAAGTTCAATTCCGATCAAGGGCATGTACCTTGGTTTCGGGCACATCCCCAGTGGGAGGTGTGCAGGAGGAAGCTGATCTATGTTTCTCTCTCATTGATGTTTCTAACTCTCTATCCCTCTCCCTTTCTCTCTGTAAAAAAAAAAAAAATAAAAAAAATAAAATCAATAAAAATATATTTTAAAAATAAAAATAAAAATCTAATAATCTTTCAAAGGAGCTGTTTCTCCAATTCTCAAACTTTATTATTAAACGAACAAATGATTTCAGACATGGTACTTGGGAAGAGGAGGAGAGAAAACCCAGTGGGGGCTTGACTTCAATTCCAATGTCCTCACCAGACCTGAAACGATTCGCTTTCAGAGTGACGGAGAGATTTTAAAGGTCTGCTCAGTTACGTTTTAGTGAGGTATACAGGTGTGACTCAAGGCTGGGTTCTAGTGGGTAAAGGGGGTCGTGGACGTGAGTCACATTCAGGAGACAGTGAACATAAACTGACTTCCAAAAAAGCTGCAGCTTGGGGTCTGGAGTCAGACAGCCTGGGACCGGTTCCTACACTGGCTCAGGCACTTATATAATTTCTTTGTACCCCAATGCTCCTACTAATAAAATGGGCATACTATTTTGATCTGGATGTAACTACATTACTGAGATGGACACTTAAAATCTGGGCATTCACATCATACTCCAATGAAGTACCAGAGAGACAGGAAGCAAGACAAGGAAGAAAAGAAAAATTAGTATTTTCCTCTAATATAAATCCAAGTTCGAAGACCAAGGTAAGAAAAAAGAATATTTATTTATTTATTTATTTATTTATTAAATATGAATCTCTTTATTTATTTATTTATTTATTTATTTATTTTAAATATATTTTATTGATTTTGTAGAGAGAGGAAGGGAGAGAGATAGAGACTTAGAAACATCGATGAGAGAGAGTCATCGATCAGCTGCCTCTTGCACATCCCCTACTGGGGATATGCCCGCAACCAAGGTACATGCCCTTGACCAGAATCGAACCCGGGACCCTTCAGTCCCCAAGCCGACGCTCTATCCATTGAGCCAAACCGGTCCCGGCTGAATCTCTCTTTTAAAAATATATTTTATTGATTTTTACAGAGAGGAAGGGAGAGGGATAGTTAGAAACATCGATGAGAGAGTGTCATGGATCAGCTGCCTCGTGCACACCCCCTACTGGGGATGTGCCAGCAACCAAGGTACATGCCCTTTACCAAAATTGAACCTGGGACCTTTCAGTCCGCAGGCTGACACTCTATCCACTGAGCCAAACCGGTTACGGCAAGAAAAATGAATTTTTAAAAAACCCAACTTCAGATTATAATTTCTACGGACATGTTACAGCTCAAGTTTACATGCATACAAGTAGGAACAAAGAAACTAAAGTTGTTGATTTTTTTTTTTTTTTTTAAAGATCTTATAATGAGCCAAACCGGTTTGGCTCAGTGGATAGAGTGTCGGCCTGAGGATGGAAAGGTCCCAGGTTGGATTCCGGTCAAGGGCATGTACCTTGGTTGTGGTCACATCCCCAGTGGGGGGTGTGCAAGAGGCAGCTGATTGATGATTCTCTCTCATGGATGTTTCTAACTCTTTATCCCTCTCCCTTTCTCTCTGTAAAAAAAAAAAACAAAAAAAAAACAATAAAATATATTTTAAAAAAAAGATCTTATAATGAGTAAAGATCTCTGAGTTTTTAACAAAAAAGAGGAGAGACATAATAATAGTACTGTCACTTCATAAAGTCACAATGATGACAACAATGAACTCTATATAAAACAGCTTAGCTCAAAAGAGCTCAATAAATGTTGGATAGTAATATTATTATATTTCAACTAGAGGCCCAGTACACAAATTCATGCACGAGTAGGGTCTGGTTGGCCTGCCCTGATCAGAGCTGATCACGCCGGGCCAACTGGGGAGCCAGGGTGGACTGTGGGAGGTTGGCTGGCTGGCCCCACCCTCTGGTTGAATTCCTGGTCAAGGGGACAATTTGCATATTAGGCTTTTATTATATAGGATGTATTTGTGTGCTGTAAAGAAGTATACACATTTTAATTAACCACAAAATTCTTTGTGGAATAAGGCTGGCTCTATAATTTAAAAGTCAGTGTGGTTATGATTATGGCTTTGTTTTGTTTTATTGATCCTCACCAGAGGATATTTTTCCATTGATTTTTAGAGAGAGTGGAAGGTAAGAAGAGGCACAAAGAAACATTAATGTGAGAGACACATCAATTGGTTGCCTCCCACACACGGGATTGAGCCTGCAACTGAGGTACATACCCTTGCCCAGAATTGAACCCAGATTTTTTAATCTACAACCCAACATTCTATCCACTAAGTCAAACCGGCTAGGCATGATTATGGTGGGGTTTTTTTGTTTTGTTTGTTTTTAAATATATTTTATTGATTTTTTTACAGAGAGGAAGGGAGAGGGATAGAGAGCTAGAAACATCAATGAGAGAGAAACATCGACCAGCTGCCTCCCGCACCCCCTCCCCCCCACCCACTGGGGATGTACCTGCAACCAAGGCACATGCCCCTCACCGGAATCGGACCTGGGACCGATTCCGGTGAGGGGCATGTCCTCAGGCCGATGCTCTATCCACTGAGCCAAACCAGTCAGGGCTATAGTGTGTGTTTTTTTTTTTTTTTAATCCTCACCCATTATTGATTTTAGAGAGAGGAAGAGAGAGAGAGAGAGAGAGAGAGAGAGAGAGAGAGAGAGAAACATGGATATGAGAGAGAAACATCGACTGGCTGCCTCTTGTTAAGTGCCCCAACTGAGAAAGAACCTGAAACCTAGGTATGTGCCCTGTCCACGAATCGAACCCAAGCCCTTTTGGTGTAAGAGACAGTGCTCCAACCAACTGAGCCAGAGCAGCCAGGGCTAGGATTATGGTTAGACAACTAGTGTTTGGTTAGTTATCACAAAAGCGATGCGTATCTCTGAAGGACACATCAAAAGATGATCCTAAGAACCAGTCAGAGCCGATACTGACTGCCCCTTGGTCCTTCGGAGATACAGTCTCTGCGGTGCTCCACTCACTCATGAGGATGTGTTAACCTGGCAACTCACCAGCAGGACACACGAGAGTCAGGCTGCAGATATCCGATGGGTAGTAAGCAGCGTACACGCCGGCCACATTGCCGCCCATGGAGGTGCCTATCAGGTGGAACGGTTTTTTATTCAGCTTGAGGCACTCTACAAACTGGGAAGGGAATGAGAAGGGGGTTGGTTATATAGCTGCAGACAGTGGCAATCGTGATTACAGAGCAAAAACCTCTGTTGCCTCTGGGGACAAATGAAAAGCATATTGACAAAAGGGGGTCTGAACCTCTCCTGGACCCGTTATCCACAGGAACCCTGAGGCAGGTGTGTACTCATCTTTACCTGGTACACGTGATGGAGGGGTCATTTCTGAGTATAAAACCAACAAAGATTCTCCTGATTCTGAGTCAGCAAACTTTTCTATAAAGGTCCTGAGAGTAAATATTTTCTGCCTTGTGGGCCATAGGATTTCAGTAACAACTACTTAGCTCTTTTGTTGTAGCACAAAAGCAACTAAGACAATAGGTAAATGAATGAACACCGATTTGTTTAAATAAAATTTGCTTACGAAAATAGGCAGCGGGCCAAATATAGCCCATGGGCCGTGGTTTGCTGACTCTTGTCCTAATTTAAAGTCCTTCTCATCCTTCCCACTACCTGTTCATATATAACTATCCACCCCTCCATCTATCTATTCAACCATCCAGCCATCCAGCCAGCTGTCTATCCATCCAACCAACCACTACTCATGCTTTAGATAACTGTTTATCTTAAAAATATTAATTGGATAATTGTTTTGTACAAGGAAGTATGGTCAGCCGCAGAAGATACAGCAAAGAGCCAAAGACACAAGGTTCCTGACCTCATCAAAGTACATAGTTTAAGGGGGAGGGGAAAGACACATACACACATTAAATAAATACCCTTATCGGGGGAAACACCAACATCAATGTAAAACTGTGGATTACTAAGTTCTGAAATGGTCCATCAGCTCCAGGACCTTGAAAGCCCAGCCAGAGGAGGGCTGAAGATAGATGCTGAAGCAGGACAAAGGCAAGGAGCATCTTCCCCATGGTCCCCAGCTAGGCAGAAGGGCTATTGCGGCCATCACATAGCTGGTAAGCAGAAACACAGACTCCAGGGAAATGAGTCTTGAGAAATACTAAATGTCTCCTAAGAGCCGAGAAAATGCTCAGATTGTCATATTTCTTCACCATTGCAACAGGCTTAGAGGAGACTAGTCTGCAATAAGCCCTGGCCCTCCACAGCAGGCCAAGGAGATCACGGGGGTGCCACTTTGTGTGCAATTCCTCAACAGAATGCACTGGAGACTCATTGCCAGTCAGTACTGCACCCCAGGCGTAGGCACGCAGTGGAGGGCAAGACCCACACACTCTTGGCCATCGTTGGCGGAGCCCTGCTTACCTGGTGTATCCTCTTGGCTTGCCCGTCTATGGACAGGTCATCCAGGGAGGAGCGGGTGGTGCCCTCATGTCCTGGCATGTCCACGCAGACCAGGTGCAGGTTCTTCGGAAGGAACTGGGGACACACAGGCCCGGAGAGTCAGTGTGCGGCATGCAGACCGTGTCGGCCCACTTTTCCAAGAGGGCTGCGCCTCCTTACCAAGTCACCTAGATAGCCAGCCCTGGGGACAGACGGTCCGGGGCCACTAGGATGGGACGGAGCACTGCCAGTCGCCTTGTAGGGAGCAGAGGCCAGAGACTAACGCATACATAGGTGAAGGGGACCCGGAGGATGACTGGAAAAGGGGGACAGAGGTGAAGGCAGCAGGTCTGGATCTCTCACCTTTGACACCAGCTGACAGGTACTGCCTCCTCCTCCTTGTGCCCCCACTCCTTACTCCCTTCCCCACACAGACACTTACTCCAGTCATGCAGCCACTGACTGGGAGCTAGAGGGATAGTTTTGTTCAGCTAGAGTCCTGGCCAGCTCTGGAGCCCACAGGAGCAAGGCTTTCTTTAAGAACCATGTCTGGCCGAAACTGGTTTGGCTCAGTGGATAGAGCATCGGCCTGCGGACTGAAAGGTCTCCGGTTCGATTCCTGTCAAGGGCATGTATGTTGGTTGCAGGTACATCCCCAGGAGGCGGTATGCAAGAGGCAGCTGATTGATGATTCTCTCTCATCGATGTTTCTAACTCTGTATCCCTCTCTCTTCCTCTCTATAAAAAATAAAAAAGAACCATGTCTGATCACCCCTGATTCTAGTTTCTTCCACTTAAATATGTGCCACTTTTCACCAGGAAACCAAGAAACATGAGTTACCAATAAACAAATACCCAACCCTATGAAAGATGCTTATCTGACTTGGGGACAGGATGTGAGAGGGTCAGGAAGGCATGAGGATGAGTGTCCTCAAGTGGAATTTGGAAATAAAAACACAAGTTACTAGAGGGTGTGTGGCCTTTTCACTCTGGTGCAGGCCATCCTTGAGGTCATTCAGGAACAGTCCTGCCTGAGGCGGGAGCGTAGCTGCCTCCCTCCCAGGACCCCTTCTAGCCCCACCCTCCGCCTCTGGCCACGCCTGCCTAAAGCCACTGGCCACACAGGACAGAAGGTGAACTATCAGAAGGCTGCCCAACCAAGATCACTTCTCCAAGTGGGTAAAGAAAAGAGGAAAAACAGGAAAAGGAGGGATGGAGGAGGGAAGGGGGAAGCAGGAGGAGGCTTCAGCGGGAAGTCGGGGGAGGAAAGAAGAGAAACGTGGAGCCTGCGAGAACAGTGATTTTCTCAAAGCCTGATATCGCCAGTGCGAGTTCTGAAATCTTTCCTAGGAAATGCTCATGAGGCGAAATGATTTCTAAGGTGCAGATTTTACAAACGACATTCAGCTCAATGCACTTTGTCTGATCAAAGGATGTGAATGATGTGAGTCGTATATCACACTATTAAGGTGACCAGACGTCTGATTTCTAACAATTTGTCCTGCGTCCCGCAGCATTTTTAAAAAGTCCCAATTTTTGGAAAGAAGAATCTTTCCAAAAATCGGGACTTTTTTTTTTTTTTTTTTAAATCTTTATTGCTCAGATTATTACAATTGTTTCTCCAACCGTCCCCACTACCCCCCTACCCCCCCGGGACTTTTTAAAAACGCCACAGGACGCGGGACAAATTGTTAGAAATTGGGACTGTCCCGCCAAAAGCGGGACGTCTGGTCACCTTACACTAGTTTTAAGGTATTTGAGCCACAGTTCTGGGTTCCCTTTGCTTTCTCCCATCACCGAGGATTGCATGTCCGAGTGGAAATCCTTTTCCCTACCCACCTTGACCAAGCTGAGCCACATGTCCTTGTGCGCCGAGAACCCGTGGAGCATGAGGATGGTCGGCTTGTGCCCCGGCCTGCCGCGGAAGGAGTAGCAGAACTGGTAGTCTTCCTGCTGAACGTAACGGACCTGCATGCCCAGGGCCCGCCGCCAGTACCTGGAAGGAGACACATAGGCCACACCAGGTCAGCACGCTCCAGGGACGTGGGGGGGAGGCACAGGTCCGCGCTATAGGCTCCCTACCAGGCAAGACAGACACTTCTCCTGCCTCTCCTCCTCCGCCTAACCCAGAGCTTCACCCCCAAGGAGCACTAAGCGAAAGAGTTCCAGAAAGTACCTTAAATGAATATGGTGGAATGTATGGCACCACATAATTGCTCTAAACCAGGAAGGGGAGAAGGGGTATTTCCTTAAGAAGCATGACACAAAATAACTTCTTGTGAACACATATTTCTAGCAGTTGAGTGGCCGTGCAAAGGAGGAGTTGGCGGTGGGATCTCCCTGGGTATCTGACTAGCCCTTACGCTGCCTGGATTGTTGGAGCTTCTGCAGAATTTGAAATGGCTGGCGGTAAGACTGGGAAGGGCTCCGAAAAGGCCATGACCAAGCTGGTTTTCTGGCGCCGCGTCGGCTAGCAGCCTGGTGGGCCATATTCATCGACACCTGGAATCTGAAGTGAGTAGTCACAAGACTGCCGCTATGTGCGGCACAGACATCCGGAGTGAGTACAGCACTCCCTCAGAGGCACTTTAATGGACAGGAAAATCATCAGAAACGTCAATGTAGTGTCTCTTGCAACTTGCTCTTCATGGAGATGAAGAATTGGGCTCTCGCCTGGCTGGTGAGGATCAGAGGTTGAGCATGAACCTATGAACCAGGAGGTCACGGTTTGATTCCTGATCAGGGCAGATGCCCGGGTTGCGGGCTTGAACCCCACTAGGGGGCATGTAGGAGGCAGCCGATCAATAATTCTCTTCATTGATGTTTCTATCTCTTTCTCCCTCTCTGATGTCAATACACACACAAAAAAAGAACTGGACTCTCATCAAGGCTGCAGTTGCTGGTGGTGGTATCACTCACACCCCACAAATCTCTGGGGAGAAAGAACACCAGAAAACTGTCTCCAGGGGCCTTTCTATGATCTCAGGCCTCTAACTACTCTAACAGCTGCCCAGTGTCGGTGATTCTCTGTAAAAAACACAAGCTTACCCATTTGTAAAGCTAGTTGAGCAGGCTGGAGATTTAATTAGCTTTCCAACCAACCAGATTTCCTTCATGTGAGTCCTGTCCATACTTAAGTGTTACTGTGGCTTTAAAAATGGTAAGGATTCTGCAGTAGTGGGTTTTGATAGAGCTGATGTTTTTTTTAAAAAACTCTTTTGGTTTTAATTGTGATGCAGACGTTATAACAAACATTTGGCTTTGTACAGATATTATTTCCACTCCAGCGGATAAGCTCAGTGAAAGTCATGATACTAACTCTCCCCAGAAAATAAGAACATATTTTTTATACAGATTTTGAGAGTGAGAACTTTTTTTTTTTTTTTAAAGAACTATCTGCATTGATCCTCTGAGTTTATTCGCTACAGCATATGGCAGCTGGTTGAAAGCTCAGCTTCTGTTCATTATATAAGACTTGGCAGCGCTGGAGTTCGGCCTGAAATTGATTTCAATACGAAATTACCATCTAAATGCATTGAACTCTCCGCATAAAGAGTCTCTCCAAGATGAGAGACGATTAACTCAATCAGAGATTCACTTTGTGGTATACTTTGCACCAAAGAGGTAGCCAAGTCTTGCAAAAGCAATCAGCTGAAGCTGACTAGTTTTAACCCTTTATGTAAAACAAGGGGAGGGAAGATGAGAACATAAAATCATACTTATTTCGATCTGCATCCAAAAAGTGTAGGAACAAAAACAAGACACCATTAAGGTGAGCATCTGGAGTGGAGGTGGGCAATACAGTGAGAAGTAGATGGAGAGGCAACAGAGGTGGGAAAGAGACTTAGCGCCTTCTTTTTAGTACTTTTGCAATGAATCTATTGCCTATTCAAAACATTAAAAATAGAATGAAATTGGCTAGTTTAAAGCTCTTCTTAAAAGAAAGCAAACTCATTTCAAAATTCTAAATCATGCACCATAATACAAATTTGTTCATTCATATGCCACCTCATATTGACTTTGTGATCTTGAATCTCATCTATCTAGAATGAGGGGGAAATGTCGCATTCTACTGTGGATATGGTAAAGATTAGATGAGATAATCCATATGCAAAATTTTGTTTGATGCTCAACGTATGGTAAGAATTCAATAAATGGTCGTAATTAGTATTAAATAAAAAAGATCCTATTCTTATAAATATATCACTTGCCAAAACTCAAGGGAAAATTTTGCAACATATATGAAGGCCACAGATTCATTTAACATATAAAAAGCATACAAAATCATAAGACCCAGGCAGGCTAAGATCTCAATTCAACAATGAATAAAATAAGCAAAAATATTATTCAAAGTAGAAGAGAATTAAGGACTAACAAATATAGGAAACATGCTCAATTTCACTAATACCTAAAGAAATGAATATTACAACTAGACATACCTTTTTAATAATATAAATGAGAAAGATCCCTTTAAAATAAAAACAGCTCTTGCAGGTGTTGGTTGGAGCATTGTCCTGTGCAGGACATATGCCTAGGGTTTGATCCCTAGTAGGGGAGGCTACACGATCCATGTTTCTCTTGTACATTGATATTTCTCTGTCTCTCTCTCCCTCCGACAGTGTTATTTCAATTAGAAAAAAAAAAAATCTGCACTAATCTTTATGCCCATAAACAGAAAATTTATTACATAAATCACAATGTATCCAGATGATGTAATGTGTTGCTATTAAAAAACAATGAGGTCTTCAAAGACTATTTAATAACAGGAAAATGTTTATGACATGATATCAAATGAAAACATAGGACCCAATATTTTTATACTATTGATTCTAATTCTGTTAAAAAAATTTTTTAATTATATACAGATGAGGTGGGGAAAGGGGTGGTGAGAACAAAAGACGCATTGAAAAAAATGATTTGGGGGTGATGGATAATTTATATTTTCTCTGTTACTTTTTTTTAAAAATAATTATAGTTGCTATAATTCTGATAGTCACCATCTGTGTACAAGGAATATTGGCAATGCAGGTTTTTATTTTTATCTTTATATATTTTATTGATTTTTTTTTTTTTTACAGAGAGAAAGGGAGGGAGGGAGAGTTAGAAATATCAATAAGAGAGAAACATCAATCGGCTGCCTCCTGCATACCCCCCACTGGGGATGTGCCCACAACCAAGGTACATGCCCATGACCAGAATCGAACCTGGGACCCTTGAGTCCGAAGGCCAATGCTCTCTCCACTTAGCCAAACCGGTTAGGGTTCTGTTACCTTTTTATAACCTTCAACTCTAAGGAGATCAAAGGAGAGCTGGAAGGACCTTGCAGAAATGGTGATGTTGCTTAGGCATCTGGATACTCAGCACCTATTGGTTCATCAGTAGACAACGCAGCAAGGTGTGCACAGCACAGACAGGGCACGGGATGACCAAGCATAATGAATCCCAAGTGAAGGGAGACGGGGCTAGAAGCGCAGCCTGGGAGCTGGGCTCAGGGCGCGAGGAATGCTCCATTACCAGGGAGGTACTCGTCCAGGTATCTCATTTAATTGCTATGTCCCTGGAAAACCTCACGTAGGCTTTGGAAATAGGAGCTTGAGAACCAATATTTTCAGTAATTTCCTACTCCCCTCAATGGAAGAGTAGGAAGAAGACTCCTTAGGCTACCAGGTCAGTTAAAAATTATGAAAGGAAAACAAACAAACAAATCTAAGTTCTTTGGTTTAAGGATGGCAGAGAATAAATTACCTCTAAATGATAAACTTTACAAAGGCAGAACTTAGAAATAACTGCAAGTCGCCTGGCCAGCGTGGCACAGGGGTTGAGCATCGACCTACGAACCAGGAGGTCGAAAGCACATGCACAGGTTAAGGGCTCAATCCCCAGTGTGGGGCGTGCGGGAGGCAGCTGATCAATCATTGATGCTTCTCTCTCCCTCCCCCACTTTCTTCCTCTCTGAAATCACTAAAAATATATTTTTAAAAATGATTGCAAGTGTACAGAACAGAAACAAAGGGAAGGATCGAATTGGAATAAACAAGAACAAGATCTCTTGCAGATGAACAGTCTTGTACAAGAGTCGACTGCTCCTGTTTCAGGGACAGACGTCACTGTAGCCCTAAAAAAGCAACCTCCAGGGGTTCTTTGAGAAAGACGTCAGGGCCCAGACCTTTATTTCACGAGTGCTGCCTCCTCTAGTTTCCAGGATCCTCTGAAGACAAGCACTTACACAGTTCATTTCTTTTTTTTATTATTGTGGTAATATATAGATAACATACAATTTACTATTCTAACTATTTTAAATATATATTTTATTGCTTTTTTACAGAGAGGAAAGTAGAGAGAGAGTTAGAAACATCTACCAGCTGCCTCTTGCACACCCCCTACTGGGGATGTGCCCACAACCAAGGTACATGCCCTTGACCGGAATCGAACCTGGGACCTTTCAGTCAGCAGGCTGACGCTCTATCCACTGAGCCAAACCGGTTTTGGCCATTCTAACCATTTTAAGTGTATAATTCAATGGCATTAAGGACATGCACAATATTGTACATCAACCATCACAACTATTCATTTGTGGAATTTCCTGTCATCCCAAACAGGAATTCTGTATTCTTTAAACAAAAACTCCACATTCCTGCCCTGGCCGGTTTGCTCAATGGCTAGAGTGTTGGCCTGTGGACTGAAGGGTCCCAGGTTCAATTCGGCCACGGGCACATGCTTGGGTTGTGGGCTTGATACCCAGTGTGGGGTGTGCAGAAGGCAGCCAATCATTGATGTTTCTCTCTCCCTCTCCCTTCCTCTCTGAAATCAATAAAAATATGTTTAAAAAAATTCAAAACAAAACAAAAGCTTCACATTCCTTCCTGTCCCTGAGACCCTGGTAATCTCTATTCTACTTTCTGTGTCTGAGTCTGCACAGTCTAGATACCTCACTCTTATAAGTAGAATCATACAATCTTTGACATCTTATGCCTTGTTTCCAATTATCCATAGTAAAGAGTGTGTCAGTACTTTATTCCTTTTTAAGGTGAACTAATATTTCATTACATGAATATGCCACATTTATTTATCCATTCATCAGCTGATGGACATGGGCTGTTTCTACTTTTAAGCTACTGTGAATAAGACCACCATAAAAATTCACAAGGCTTTGTGAGGACAAGCTTTCAGATCTCTTGGGTAAATACCTGGGAGTAGAACTGCTGGGTCACTTTAAAAAGAACGACAACAAAAACCTTTTGAGGACCCGCCAGACTTTTTCAAAGCAGCTGCACCGTTTTGTATTCCTACTAAGAATATATGAGGGGTCCAATTTCTCCACATCTTTCATTGTTATTTTTTAGAGAAACTTTTAATTGAAGTACAATTTACAGAAAAGTGCACAAATTGTAAGTGTCCCTGGAGCGTGGCCACTTGTTCCCACAGGGATGTGGGCTGTGACTGCTCCTGCTGGCAGCGCCAAACGCTTCGCGATGAGCCACCAGAGCCACCTCCGGAGGTGCCGTGGCCACAGCAGGGGCATCTGACTCCAAAAGGCCCTCCTGGCGACCCAAGGAAGCTGGGGGCTGTGGACGGTGTGGCATGGAGCTGGCTTCTCCCGGGTACGGGGAATTAGCCTTCCTGTAATCACACCTCCTGCTTGCAGCCGTAGCCATGGTGACGGGCCACAGCACCAAACTGTATTCTCCATTTCAATTTGATTTATTTAAGAAAAATAGCATTTGTGTGTGGAGCCCATGGAGTCTCTTCAGGGTACATGGGGCACATGCTCTGGCCACTCCATGTCCGGCTACATGGAAGCCTGGGCCCACAGCACGCCTGCTGCTAGGCCTGCAAGGACAAGCATCTCAACAGCTGGCGTCTCAGCTTCGTCTGCGCAGGGGTGGGTCCTCTGAAAGGGTCACCACCGCCCAAGAGGGAGGGAGTAAAGGAAAGAAAAAGAAAAGCTCCCTTTTGTTCAAGCAGCTTCTTTTCAAGGGTCAGAGCCGGGTTGGCAGGTGGAAAACTCCACACTGCAGTGCAACAAAAGGCAGCCAGAAAGGAGGGCAGATGCAGGGCACACGCCAACCCCTGCCCGCCTCTCTCTGTGCACAGGGCAGTTCTCACCCCCAGCAGCCCCGGTGGCATCTTAGGGCGCTTCCCGATGGCACGGGGAGGAACCGGCCTAGCCCGGTGTTTCCTGCACCAGGGGAGGCACCACGCAGTGGGAAGGAGCTTTCACTCGGTAAATGGACTGTGGCTTGGAGAGTCCCTGAAGCGCTTCGCGAGGAAGCCGCTCCCTCCTCAACAGCTGAGCTTCTGGTTCCCTGGAGAACAGCTGGGGCTGCGGTGTCTTTCCCAGCCTCTCAGACGTTCACCAGAGAGCGGGAGACTCAGCCTTCGGCAGGCAGCAGGCCCGAGGCAGCCTTGTGTGTAGTATTCCGCTTCTTTTCACTTTCTTATATTGATGTACTGCGCATGGCAAGCTTCCCACTCGCTGTGTTTCCCAAAGTGTGGTACGCGTACCCCCAGGGGCATGGGAAGAGTTTGGTGGGGGTACGCGTTGCACCGGAGTTTGGTGGGGATATGCACTGCACCGTGCTTAGCTGCGCCTAATTCTACGTTCTCATGAGAACGAGGGGTACTCAGCGTTACAAAAATTATATTATAAGGGGCACACATATGTCAAAAGTTGGGGAAACACTGATAAGGTGGTTATATTTATGTGGCTCTTAAAATAAACTGACTTAACCTACAGAAGTGACTGACTCCACAGAGAATGCCAAGGCAGAGGTGGTGTGCAGACGGGGCGAGCAACCGCGATGGTAGTACGGGAATGACAGGTTGGGAAACGTCTTTTTCTTTCTCCCGCTTCAGGAATGAACGCTTTTAGCACGAATCTGACACCACCTGTCCCACCCGCACGCCTGCTCCAGGTCCCGCTCTTCCTAACTCATCTGTCAGTGCACCTCGCCGCCCCTGTCAGACCACACTGGATCGAAATCCAAGGACCGAGAAACTGTCACCGGGATTCCCGCCGATGCGCACCATCCTTGCTCAAAGCACCGGTGACTTTGGGAGCGAGGGCGGAGCCGCCATCAGAAAGCTGACAGACGTTACCTGGTAGGAAGCTACCACCCACCATTCCAGAACATTCCCGACGTTCAAAACAGGGCATCCCCCAGCTTTCCTATATGCTTGAAATATTTCATGATGAAATGCTGAACCACCAAAAGAACAAGCGGAGAAGATGACACTGTTTTGGTACCCCTGGAAACGTCCATCACAAAGGTAGCTTACCAGTAATAGATTTTTATCAGCGCCGACGGCCACAGGAGGAACGAGGCCACAAAGGCCAGGATGGGGATGGCCAGCGTCCCGCCCGCGATCACGAACATGTTGACCACGTCCAGGTCCATCCTGCTCCTCGAGGCAGCTGGCGCCTGTGGGTGGAGAAAGGGACAGGAGTGAAAGTGTCGCAAGAGAAAGGGGAAGAGGTAGATGGAAAAAAGAAGTGAAGGACCCAGAATGAGGATAAGGATGAGGAGGAAGCAAAAGCAGGCAATGACTTAAAAAAAAAAAAAAACTCAACAGGCATGGCCACTACATGTAAGGAAGGGTCCCTGAGAGGGTCCCGAGTTGCATTTTTTTAAAAAATATATTTTTATTGATTTTGTACAGAGAGGAAGGGAGAGAGATAGAGAGTTAGAAACATCGATGAGAGAGAGTCATCGATCAGCTGCCTCTTGCACACTCCCTACTGGGGATATGCCCGCAACCAAGGTACATGCCCTTGACCGGAATCAAACCTGGGACCTTTCAGTCCCCAAGCCGACGCTCTATCCATTGAACCAAACCGGTTTCGGCCCGAGTTGCATTTTAAGCTGAGAAGAAAACACTCAGGACAGCTGGGGAAAGCTCAGTGAGGACAGAACGGCAGATGTGTTATTGTGCTGCTGATACAGTTTCAGAGTGTGAGGGTGACGCGGTGGTTATCTTCGCACGCGGGAGAATGTCCTTGTTCTTAGGCGATGTATGCTGACATATGAAGGGGACAAGCATAGTGATATCTACTACTCACTCTTAAAAGCTGAGGAGAAAAATATATAATTGTGTGTGGGGTGTGTGTGTGTGTGTGCGTGTGTGTGTGTGTGTGCTGGTGGGGAGAGGAGAGAGAAATAAAGCACATACGTTGAAATGTTAACCATTGGTAAATCCAGGTGAAGGTTACCTGGTAACCTTCAACTTTTTCTATAGGTTCCACAGGTTCCAAAATGTCTACAGCAATTTTTAAAATTTAAGTGAGGGAGGACAGAGGCCCTTACAGGAATGAAAACATACACATGTGCACTTTTCCAGCAAACTCAATCATCGGCTTGTTTCCCCTTCTAGAACCGGAGCTCCGTGAAGGAAGCGACGAATCATACATGTTCTTTCTCGGTGCCCAGAACAAGCACGGAACACAAATGAGATGCAATTGAATGACAAGCAAAGTTACAAAACGGCTCAATGCTCTTTGTGTTAGGGACAACCACTGCCCACAATGCTGAAGCTGTTTTCCTTCAGCAACCACACACCTCCCCCGAGGAGCTCCCTCATGCACGCTGAGCACAATTTACAAGGCTCATCGCCCCACCAGCAAGGGTCAGCAGATATTCCCATAAAGGGAACGTCACAAACCTGTGAATGTCGTGGGCCACGAAAGAGCTGATGAACACAGTCTCTGTGGAGGGTCACCGTGGTTTCCTGCTTCAACCGTGCGTGGACGGAACCAGCTCCCAGACCCACCCCAGCCAGCCAGCGCCCAGACCCAGCCTTCCGCCGGCTCCTCACCGCGTCCTTGCGCTGCCCTGAGGCCCCACCACCGCTCCGTGGGCCAAGGAGGCGGAGACAGAAAGCCTACAGCCTTGTGAACACAGGACCACCAATGCCTGAACGTCAGCTAAGGGCTGGAATGTGCAGTCTCCCGGAGCAGTGGCCACACAGCAGATGTCTGCAAGACGACTCTGGGGAGCAGGAGGACACTATGCACCACCACATAGTGCATACGGAGAAGCCTCTTTCCCTTCCTGCTTAGGGTCCAAGGGAAATGAGCAGTGCTCTAACTGGCACGCCTCCTGCAGGCAACGGCATCTAACCACTTACGACCACTGTTTCCTTGCGTTGAGTTTTATGGATATTTTCAACGTATGGCAGGGATGCAAATTCATTTTTAAAGTTAATTTAAGTTAAAAGGAGTCCGTTTGCAGGAAAATGCTAGGTGGGTGACACATGAGTCTGGTGAAAACATGAAGGTCATAATGAGTGGCCACCCCGGGGCAGACGCAGTGAGGAATGAGCACAGGTGGGGGAGGGGCAGGCATGCCAGCCCTCTCCTCCCAGGCTCTCCCTCACACCAGCCAGGCCACGCTGGTTCCCTCATCCTACAAGAGGATTTCCATCCAATCACTGCTTTTTAAAAATATATACATCTTATTGATTTTTTTTTTAGAGAGAAGAAGGGAGAGGGCTAGAGAGTTAGAAACATCGATGAGAGAGAAACACCAATTAGCTGTCTCCTGCACACCCCCTACTGGGGATGTGCCCACAACCAAGGTACATGCCCTTGACTGGAATCGAACCTGGGACCCTTCAGTCTGCAGGCCAACACTCTATCCATTGAGCCAAACCAGCTAGGGCTCAATCACAGCTTTTGTCTTTTCCTACTCTGGTGACTTTTGAAACTTTTCCAAAATTATGCCAGCAATTAAAGAGTAAGATTTGGCTCGCCCCAACAAGAACCTTGTATCCCAGAACATAAAACAGAACCTGGCAAGTCTCTGTGGCTTGATAATGCTCATCGCCTGAACAGACTGCAAAGGAAAGATGCACTCACTTTGCCTGGCTACTGTGTGAAGTGAGGCACTTCAGCCTTAAAGGCAATGATGGGTGGCCCTGCAGTGCTCTGTAACGCCAGCCGGTGTCAGGAGAACCAGCTGGCCGTCATGGCCCCTGGGAGAGGAGCACACTCACACCCCAGGTAAATGGCAACGAGGTTCTTATTCCCCAAAACTATCCTGATCAATGTTTCTATCTATCTATCTCCCTTCCTCTCTCTCTCAAATCAATTTTTTAAAAAAAGACTTTAAGATTATACTGATTTAATTGTTGGCGCTTTGCCTCTCTGTCCCAGTTAAAGTAAAATATATTCTCATTAATGTAGACGGAGGCAGGGGTTGTATATTGATGGCTGTATCCAATCAATAAAGGCTGTAAGTGTTGTATAATGTGTGACTACTTAAATTAATTTAATATAACTCAAAGGTCAGTGCTTCAGCCACACCCATCACAGTTTATGGGCTTGAAAACCACACGTGACCAGCATAGCTCAGAGCTCTCTGCTCCTGAAAGCCTCTTTCAACCAATTCCTCTGCTACGTTAGTTCCTTAGTTCCGCATTCATGAGGAGTGTCGGGTGGGATGACAATTCCCTGCCGGGGTGAGCCAGACCACTCGGCTCCCTCAGCCACCACGTGGGGCCCAGCTCCAGGTCCTCACTCAGAAACTCCAGTTTCTGTCCAGGGTGCTCTCCCACAGCCGGTACTGCCAGAGGCCCCCTGCCTGCCCCGGTGAACTCCACAGGATCCCAGCTCTACCTCCAGCCTGAGCTCCCACAGCTCCACCCGCATCCGATAACCAACCTGCCACACAAGCCCGCACGGCCCCCCTGGTCTTCCCTCGTGTGGCCCCTTCCCGGGCACGCTACTGCCCTGGCTGCCCCAGGAGCTCCTCCCTGCCTACGTGGCTGACCCCAATGTCACGCTGCCCAGGAAAACAGCCTGGTCCCCACAGGCCCAGGACTCACAGCCTCTCTTCCAACTCAGAGCCCTCCTCCTGGCGAACTGCAAATAGGCGGTTTTTGGGTGCATACTGGAGCTTTGAAAACCTTCAGGTACCACACCTTCCCGCCAGTCCTTCTGAAATCACCCCCAGACGGTGGTTTCCAGAGAGCTTACAGAGGAGTCCCAGGCTCCTTACAAACTGCCTTTAAAATATATATATGGTTTAAAAAAGCCATACTCACTGTTCAAAGAGCACAGCCTTCTTTCCCAACTGCTACTGGCTCTGATGAAAATGAATTTCTGAAATTACAAAAAGTGAAAGCAACGCAGCGTTAGGAAATAGGAACCGAGTGTTAACAGCCAGCAAATAGCTGGCTTTGCGGAGGCGCAGAGCTCTGTTCGGGGTGCAGGCCAAGTACAGTGCCCTGTCAAATGCCCCGTGGCTTTATAACCGCCTCTGTCCAAGTCACCCCCCTCCCACCCCGGTTAAGCAACCTGCACAAAGGGCAGGGCGTGCCAGGTCCTGGGAGGCCGAGAAAGAGGTCGAAGAAGAGCTGAGGTGAGAAGGGGAGCATGGGCATGAGAGGAGGAGTCCGGCTGTCTATTGGAGATTGATTGCATGTATTGATCGCCATTCCCTTCCTAGACCCTACTTAAATGACAGTAAAGGAAAATATTAAACTCATAAGTGCTAAGAGAATGGGAGAGGAGATATGTCAGTCAACTTTTTATTGAGATCCTCCAATAAAAACAAGAACTCTCCTTCTCCATCTGGGGGCAGGGTTTACCTAAAAGCTGTACTAGGAAAGAAATGAGAGAAAGATGGCAACAACGTGCACATGGGAATACTATTTCTACTGGAGTAACTAGCTCCAACATAGGGCTAGACAGAGCAGGGGAGCTGGAAAGGGCACTGCAGTAGGAGAACGGAAGGAAGGCAAAGGAGGGCCAGTGCACAAACCCCGAGGGCCAGGGACAAAGGACAGGTACAGAAGGTCACCAGGGTCGGAAGCCCCAAGTGCCTAGCAAGCACCTGGCAATGGACAATTTGTAGGTGGGACCTGGTCCCCAGGGAGACCTGTCCTCCCCTAGCGTACGGATGTGGTGTGGACCCCTGACCTTTCCTCCCTATGCATGACACCTAGACCTCCCTCAGTTGTGTTTTAGCTCCAGGTCCAGAGAAGACAAGTGACACCATGGCTGACCTCAGGACCAGCTGCATTGAGAAGTGACCCCCTGCCCTGGCTCTGACCCATCAGTGGAGACCATGACACCCGGAAAGCTGATGAGTATTCTATTGGATTCTAACCTGGGCCCTCCCCTAAGATCTCCACCATTAAAAGCTCTTAGGATGGAGGACCCATGCCCGAACCTATCCTCAGCCCTTTACCATTACCTCCCTCATTTCCAAGGGCCTTTCTTTTGCCTCTGTAACTTACGGGCCCGTTTCTTCTACCACTCACTTCTCTCACCTCTGAAATTGTCTAAATAAATGTTCTCTTATAGTTTGAGTCTTGGCTCTGAATTCTTCCTAGCCAGAACTTAAGTAGGCTGGTCTACCACCAAGGGTTATTCCTCCTGCCACCAACAAGAGGATCC